ATAAACAAAGAAAGAGCTTGCTTATTTATTTTCCTTAAATTATCTACATAATAGATAATACCAATTCTTTTACAAAAAATATAATACAACACACCAAATTTAAGAACTATTGAAACCAAAGTGACGTAAGAGTATCACCACTAGTTGGTGCCAACAAAGATGGCCAATGTGTGATTGCCGGAGTTGCATGGCACATTGGCTGGGGTAGCCTTAGCGCGATCTCTACCCACTAGGTAGGGTGGCACGTAGCAACTTGGCATAGCATCCACCTGCCCACCCCACACCATCTCCTCAAGACCCCTACTCTCAATCCCCCTTCCTTTTGAGAAGCCCCCTTGCAAGATAAAATGAAAAATATGTGGCTTTTGCCAACTACTTTGCATTGTGGCTAGTAGAAGCCATGCCCAATGCCAACTTCCTACACCATACTAGCTCCACCAAGGCTCCACTCCAAACCCCAGCCCCGACATGAGAGAGTTGTTTCCACAATAAGTTGTTGGGAAAATAGTCCATTTTGCTAGGGCCAGCCTTACCAAGGCTAATGACCAGGCAAAGATGGGGCTCTTTCTAAGGCCATAGAAACCAAGCCATCTTTTGACAACATCAATGGCCATGCTTTAAGACCGCTTATTAACCAAGTATCTATTCCTAGAATGAATATAGAATATAAATTATTTCTTTTTGTTTCAAAAATATTATATATAGTTAGTTAGTTAAATGAGAAGAACATGTGCATGAAAGAGATGGCAAATCTAAAAAGCTTGGTTTCAAATCAGGAAAAAAGCAGAGAAAGACTGATGATTGAGATTTCTCATTTGGGTCATAGCCTTCGGCTTAAAGAACATAGGACAATTTTAGCTTACCAGATGGGCTTTCTTGTTGTCTGTTACCTATGCCCTAAAACCCCCATTTTGGCCAATGGTTGATGAAATGCCACATTATTGCTGCTGCTGCTGCTACAACTCCCAGAGCATGAGGCTGCCTCAGAAGGATTTTTCTTTTGTTTTTTCGTTTTTCCCAAGAGTGTCAGCAAAGCACGTTGATGATGTTTTTCCCCTTCAGAAAAAAAAACAAATATATATGGTTGCATGGCAAGAGGGAAGAAGAGGCAGAGGAGGAGCACGCTGGCTCAAAAGGTCCCAAAAGAAGCGTTGCCTTGCATGTGCTCCCCTTGGACTCTCTCACAGATACAGAGTGTGTGAGAGAGAGACATGGCCATTCTTCTCCTTCTTCTCCCTCTTCAGTGGCACTGTTCCAGGGGCCCTCCTCCAACTCCCATTTTATTCACGTTGACCTCATATCACCCACAGATACTTTTTTATTTCCCCCCCCTTTTGTGGACTTGGTGGCCACTTGGCACAGTGCTGGTCAGAGGCAGGCTTGGAGTCGCACCTTTGAGACTAAGAACCAACAGTCCACCAAAACAATCTGTGAACCCAAAAAACAATTTTGTATTGAATACCAGCCTCCAGCCTCAAAATAATATTCCCCATGCACTGCTGAGGTGACAGAAGGAAAAACAGAAAAAGAGTGAGCAGCCACATTAGTTATGACCACCAAACCCAACAGAATGGGAAGAAGAGTGGTGTGCTGTGCCCACAACACAGTATTTACACAAAGGAGTCAACACTGATAGAGAGAGAGAGAGAGAGAGAGAGATGTGTTAGGCCACCCATAATCTCCGAATCTTTCATTGTTGAAGCATCTGCTTCACTGGAGAGATGCAGCTTCGATGCAGCAGCTCCTCTGGTGGACTGAGGGAGTAGGAGGACACTTAGAAGACACATGTTGGAAGACACACAGAAAAAAATGGTTTGATTCTTCTACAGAAGGATATAAATAAACAGAAAAGAAAAGGAAAGGAGAGGTTAGAATTTGAGCTAGGAGGGAGGTGACTAGTTGTGTAGAAAGCAAGCAAACAGAGATCATGGAAGTCACACTGGGTTCACAAAAAGGAGGTCGGTTCTCCTGCTGCCAAAATTCACGCGCATTGCCACACCTGCTGGTACGCTTGCAATGTAAATGTGGCTATCAGGGATAGACAGCTACCGGTGTCTAGACAAGAGCGCCAGTGCACATTAACTAGGAGGGGAAAGGGTGAGGAATTGTAGGTGTGTAGAGATGGCGTTGCGCGAGGGAGGGCAGGGGGAGACCAGCTGCACCTTTCTTTTCAAGATGCCTGCCATCTTCTTCACCCTCTCGAGGTGTGTGCCGTCAGGGTCTGCTGACTGCCTGTCCGTCTGCCTGGCACCGCGGCGTCACTCCCGAGACCATCGCCTCACCTCTGCTGCAGAAACGAGAGATCACCATGGACGGGGTGATGCCAACATGGAGGAGGAGGAGGAGGAGGAGTTGCAGCGAGAGCCGGATGAAGGTGATGGGACCATCACCCCGGGCTCACCACATCTCCCCACCCACCCACCCACCCACCCACCCCTCTCACATCATCAGAGCCATGGAGCTGCAGCTTCGCTTTGTGGAGCAACAACGCCAAGATATAGAACTCACGTACCCAGACAAACTTCTCTATGCGGTACCAGTCCCTAGGAACTACTACTAGGAATCATTGCCCATCTTGATTTTTGCAATTTCAACGTTGCCTGTCGACAGTTTCCGTGCCATTGCATCAGGCGATGGTTTTTCGCTAGCTTGCCTATGATTACCGATTCAACAGCCGCTGACTTCCGGAGAGGAGCTCATCGAGCGGATCAAATTAGGAGTTGTGACCCTCCGGAAGGTTTCGGGTTTGGTTTCCCGGACTGCAGGAACCGTCGAGCTGCCTTCGGGCGCGGCATTCCATTTCTGCCAATCCGACCTGAATCTTGACGTTCGATACGCATCCACAGATTGCACTTAAGCAGTAGACGATCGCGCGCTGCATCCACTTCTCGGTAGTAGTAGTCGATACCCCAAGGGTGATGTTGTATCCCTCGATCCATTGACCGCGTTCCATTTCCTGCATTCTTATTGCTAGAACTGCCGATTGAGAATTCAATATCTGAGGCAGAGCACCCGTAGAGGACCCGTCCCATTGGCATTGTCTTTTGCGGGACATTCATCACTGAGTACCCCACCAGAGTTGATTGAAATTCACTGCAGCAGTTGCCCAGTCAGGGCGGACAGGCTCATTTCTGGCTCAAAACCCGGGATCACGTCGGTCCTGGTTGGAGATGTGTGCATCAAGGTGGAGAGGTGCTGCAGGAAGATTTGGGCACTGCAACTTGAGCCCCGTTATGGTTGCTTTCTCGATGATGAGCTTGGCGGTTTTGATAGTGTTTCCTGCCACAGTTGTTGCTCGCATCGGCCCTGGTAATTCATTCAATCCTTGGCCTGCTTTGAGTGATCGATTGAGCCAGAGCCATTTCAATGCAGTTGGTTTCTTCCCATGCTCTAGACCGTAGAAATGAATCTCTCTGGGATAAATTGAACCAAAACAACCTCACGTTTTCATGCCATGAGTACGGCTCTGCGGTCTCTCTGTTCTGGAGGTTGGACCACTGAAAGAATGCAGAGCTCGAGCGGACTTCTTCGTTTGTTTAAATTAGTGAAGAAAACCGAGAGAATTGACTTAATGCTGAAATCTTGGTGATGACTGCCAATTAACCAGAAACGGGAAGTTTTTCAAGTCGCAATGTGTTCGTAATCGGTAATCAACGTACGAGTAAACTGTATTTTATGAGTGCATTATCCAACTCGTGCCCAGTTTTGGAAGTGTTTGAATAGTTGGATGTTATTGTGCAGGAGTGACTGACCCTTCGGTACCAACGATCTTTCATATAAAGCAAATGCCGGCACTCTCCTCTCTTGATGCTGAAAATAAATCACGAGGCGTTCAGGTACCCTTTTCCCACCCTTTCAATAACCCATCTACAGCAACTCCCTCAGATTATCGTGATGAGTGAATTGTGTAGAGCAGCACATGCGGGAGTTGAAATGCACTACATTGTAAACACCAAGTGTGAATTTCTCTAATTGGTTCAGAGTGGCACACATGTTGTGACCACATCAAGTTCTTCAATCTAGAAGTACAAGTAAATCATAATTATGGCTGGGAGGTCCTCCTCAACCTAAAAGTAACGTTGAAACGTGCCGTTCCATCCCATCACTTCCATGGTTCCTGCTTACTTTCTCGTGTGGACGCGGCTTGTAAAGTTGTCATGTCCAATCTTGTGCACAAAGGAAAATACATGTATATGTACTAATTGATTAAGCAACACTGTGACTTTGTTCTTTATTCTTTCTAGAGGCAGGATATGAGAGACGTACCGCAGCAAGCAGACACCATTTTTGGCCATCCCCAGGGGAAAAGAATCTCTGATGGAAGCAGCAGCAGCAGCAGCAGGAGGGGATTAGTAGGATCGTCTCCCCCGACTTGCCGATTCAGGTGTGGAACGTGCACGCCCTGCAAGCCAGTGCACGTTGCCATTGGCAGCCCACACGGAGTGATCTCCGAGACCGAGTATTACCCCGAGGTATGGCGGTGTCAGTGCGGCAACCGGTACTACATGCCTTAAAGCTTCATCCCCACATTCAGTGCGGCAACGCAGCAACACACATTCGCAGACTGATCCAACACCGCCTCCTCCTCATTCTCCTCATCTTCCATTGTACCATACTCTTCTCACGGTTGAGGTCACTCCTTGTGATCCAGTCCAGCTTGTGGGTGCATCTCGACATGAAGAGGGCGATGAATAAGATCCATCGTCACAGGATTGGAGATATGCAACCAGAGTGCTCCGATAGTAAACATACGATCTCAGGTAGAGTTAGAAAAGCCTGCCTTTTTCTTCTTCTTTTTGTTTCCATCTTGTGTTGGGTGGTGGTGGTAGTGTTATTGAAGAAACGAGCTTAGGTTGGGAGCATACTGAAGAGCAGGTACATAATACTAGACATTCTCTAAGTAAATTAAAGTAACACTAGACTAAACTAGACTAGACTAGACTAGACTAGCTTGCCCCCCTTTGCTTTGCTTTGTCAGGGGTGTCCAGTTCCTTATTACATCTCCAACTTGGTCTTCTTCACTAGCTGCAACTCTTGTATTTGAAGGCAGAACTATTACCACAAATGAGAAAAGGACAGAAAACGGACACTAATGAGCTCTTTCTCATGACACACACATACACACATATATATATATATATATATATATGTTTGTTCACACGGGGTAGTCTCCCTTTCTTTATTGTTTTTAGAGAGTGGAGAAAGGCCAGATATATAATAGGACTTTTCACACACTCTGCATTCTTGTGGCAGTATGCCAAGGCTTAGGAAAGAGGAAATCTATGGATGAGAAGTAAAAATATATTTAGTTGGAAGCTTGAATGGTTTCTTACACTCTTGGAGATGCTCCATCCCAAGTCTACAGACTCAAAAGTATGAAGTGTCTTATTTTACAATAATAAATATATAGATGTGAGAATTTTATTCTCTTCTTCAATAACAGCAATGGTAATTTAATGTAATTGTTGTTGTTGTTGTTGTTGTTATTATTGTTTTTTTTATCACCTGTGGACCATTGATTTGGGCTTATGTTATAAATTGAAGATTTATAACACTCTTGTTTGGTGAAGAATCCATTGAAGTTGAGTATCCATTTGATGTGAATGGGCACTTCTTTATCTTTTCATCTTGCTTACTTTCTTCTTCTTCTCCTGAAACTTTCTTTAATCCAATGTTGTTTTACTTTTATTTATTGAAAAATAATCCTCCCAGGACAGTTACAAGTATCACACTCTGCTGTGTATGATCTGAAGCTGCAACCTCCCATACTTTATTTTTATTTTATGGTGGGTCTTTCCACAAGTGCAGAATATGTTAATGAAATGTTGCCAAACATTAACTCATGCATCAAAACTGGGCAAAAGTGGAGTCACAGATTCAACAAAGTTCAACTTGCACAAGAAGTTGAGTAGCTATGGCATACAGAAAATGGTGATGAAATGCTAAAAGTGACAATAGTAATGTATTCACTTTTCTTGGTATTTTCTCAAGAGGTTTAATTTTCACATTTTGATGCAATATTACAGCATCATTCAATTTTATTTACACCACCCATATATGATTGTGCATGAAAAAAAAAAAAATAATAAAAATGTTACAGTTTATTAAACTTGTATTCATATATCATTTTATTTAATATTATCCCATTTTTTAAAACAAAATCATGGATACATTAGCAATTGAAATTTGTAGGTTGGCATAAACCATAATGATGTAATTGGTTGTCAAATTCAGATTAAAAGATGAAAGTTCTCCCAAAGTTATAAATAAATATGACATTCAGAAAAGAAAAAAAAAAAAAAAAAAAAAAAAAAGAAGAAAAAATCACTTAAAAGCTTAAGCTCTGAAACAAACACTTGTGCAAGATTTTGATTAATCACATTGGTAAAAATGATACTACTGTAAAAATACAATCATGAAAAAAAAATTTAGGTGATTGGATTAAAATCCTATTGAAAATATATAAAAAATACTTTCTATTTAATTTTTTTAATCATAAAAGTACCATACAAAATTTAAATTTAATTTCAATAATTACACATATAAATTTTCATATTATATAGACTGTTTATATTCTAACACATCATGGGAGTTTTCTTTTACTTTTCTTTATATATTTAATATTTTTTCACTCTACTTTCATTTATAAATTTTATCATCTTGTAAAATATATATGTATATATATGTATATATATATATATATATGTGTGTGTGTGTGTGTGTGTATATATGTATACACACATACATTCACACGTAAAAGAAGAAAGAAGAAGAAGAAAAAAGGCTTACTAATACAATATGGCTGGTTTTGTTATTTTGTTATTTTTTTATAAAATAAATTAAAAGAATGACCTTATGATTGGAATAATATAAATTTCCATTTCCAGATAATTTCTTAGTTATGTAGAGTTATCAATACATATAGAGATCTAACAATCAAGATAACATATTCATTTACTTTCTTATTAATATTATAATATTTTTAGTATGATTGCATGACTTCTAGTTGTTGTTCTTCACAAAGAGTGTTGATGTTAAGTTGTGAGCAATAAATAAAATTCATTGTACTTGGAATGGGTATGTGTGAATTATCAATAGGTGGCACTTGTTGATTGGTTGGGGTGGAATAATAATATAATTAGGTGCCACACTTCTCGGTTTTGTAAAAGTTGGATTCTCAATTTTATAACCCACCATTAATCAGAATTAGGTTGGCCTATTTGGCAGAAATGGGTCAAAGAGAATCTTCCACTAAAACATTTATATAAATTCCATTTTTGGGCCAAATTGTGTGAAAACACCTGGAATCCTCCTCATTTCTATTTCACTACATTGGGGTATTTTTATTTTATTTTTACACTTACTGCAAATATGCTTAAGTTATGGGAAATGGGTCGTCTACCTCAAACAAAGGAAAGGTCGCACAAGAGAAGCATGGTGACTGCTCCAAAGGAAGAGAAGAGAAGGAAAGCACACATTCATGGGATGGCTTTACAGCCCTTGTCATCTGAGGTGCAACCCAGCCAGGCTTCTCATTACAGCCTTCCTGCTTGGAAGTGTGTGCAAAGCCCCCCTCCCTCTTGCTCTGGAGGCAAATTTGTAAGATTAAAAAAGTGAAAAATAAAAATGAAGATATAAGTGTAAGAACAAAATCAAGCAAGCAGAGGCAGGAAAAGTAGGATAGAATCATGAGCTGCAGTAGTACTGAGCCTATGCTGAGAATACCAATTTTTATAGGCCCTTGTGTCTGAGCTGAGGTGGGGTAAGAAAGCTGCTCACCTTCTTTTCATTTTTGTAAGATGGCAATGAGGATGGTTCTTCATTAAAAGCATGGATTCTGTGTCCACTGCAATGGAAATATCAGGGTCCATCAATCCTTCCCCCAGTGGCTTCAGTAGATTATGGATGGAATTGCACTTGGGAGCTACTGTGGGCTGAGGTTCAATCACTTCTGTTACTAAAATCTCACTTTGGCTGCAGGCACTGTTGATGAGTGAGAGCCTGGTACTTGGTCCCAACAGGCACTTAATGCAAGCCCCACTGGCACAGCTCATGTATGTTTTGTGAATTGTACTGGAGCAACTTTGTGTGATCTTTTTCCAGGGACTGGCTTCCAGTATAATTTACCCTCCATCAAGGCTTCATTGTCTTGTCCTTTCAGTCTCATTTTTCCTTTTTGCCATTTCCCCAAAAATTGTATGATTGCTCAAGTACCCCTACCAGCCCAAGGTTGTGAGCTTCTCTCCAGCTTGGATCAAATTGGGTATCATATTAAGGTGCTACTACACATGTAAGGCTCACTCTGGTTAATATTAATGTGTACACATATGATCACTCTCTCTCTCTCTCTCTCTCTCTCTCTCTCTAGCTCATAATTAATTGACGATGATTTTTAATTGAAGCCCATAACACATGTGCAGTGATTGATTCCCTGTAGATGCATGGGGCACTGGCCACAGTCAAGACTGGGTCAGATGGAGAACCTAACCCAGCCTGGAAAAGATCCAAATGGTGACTGTGTGTACCACTTCATATTCTTCCTATGCTTTGAGCCAATGAAATATTCAATGTGGCCCTTTCTGCAACACTTGAAGTTCCATGGAAAGCAAGGCTGGAGGTGCTTCTTCTCATCCAGGTACTCTCCTCCTGTTTCAAAGGTCAACTAGTCACACAATGCAGAAACTGGGCCTTCCTTATCTGTTACTAACCAGGGACAAGTCACTGGAGGGAGGGGACCTGCCAAACCCTTTTTTTGGCTGGCATTGCAGTATAATAAAATCCCTTCATGTTTACCAACAAAGTGGAAAAAGTACCTTGTAAGAAAACCAGTTCATCTGCCAGAGTCCCAGCAAATGTGTTGGGAATATTACAGATTGACGTTCATATTACTGGGAGAAAGTGCAGGAATAGGTACAAGTTGTGTCAACAGAAAAGACAATTTCTACAGTACTGGCAGCCTAACAACTGATACGGTGCTAGTTTTTTTTGAAAAAAAAAAAAAAAAAAAAATTGATCAGGAGGAGCTGAAGTCAACCCCTTCTTGGGTCTTTGACATTGTTCAGAGTCAAGAGCACAAGGGATTCATGAATGGGCATCAGCTACTAGAATGCTGAAAGGAAGCTTCCGTTTCTCTATCAAGTCAAGCATCCCTAAACTGCTATGTCCCTATCAATACTAAAGTCGCAACTAGAGTATCTTACCACAAGGTCACTAATCCTTCGAAGGGCAGAGCTATTGAGGGTCCTCTCCAATTTCGTGGATATGCACTCTTTCTCTTGCAGTATAGTAACATCATCGAAGCTCTCATTCTTGTCCCTCAACGTCCAAGTCACTAGAATCCTATATCCTGTGTGAAAAAATTCTTCGTCATTGCCTTTTGTTAACACAATCCAACCCTAGAATGACCACTATATTCGGGGGGAGTACCCGAATCTTCAGCTGGCACCAGAGCCTTATATCATAGAGGAACTCAGAAGTATTCCTTCTTGAATTGGGAGCCTTGAACGCCGTTCTAGCAGAGATCTTGTTACTCTGGCTACCTCCCTTAGTGTGAGCGTTGGAAAGCATCTCAGAATGTGTAACAAGCGGGATCCTTCATTCACACTGCTTCCCCAGTCTGTGTCACGAATGGGTCATCGATGTGGAAAACTAAGGCGAAGGGCATAACTGGTGGCTCCTAGTGCTCTTCCTAGACTTTCACTTGGAGCAACCAAAGCTTTACAGAACACTGCATCCTCACTTTCAACTAGTCAGACGACCAGCTAAATCTAGTAACCATCCAGATGCGTGAGCATCAGGTCACAGAACGCATAAATCAACACGATACGTAATTTTATTCTAACGAGGATGCCTACCAAAGAGTTGCAAATGCTCATTCCAAAAATATATGAAAAAATGCTTGTTCTTCAACTCTGAAAATTCCCAACTGTGAATGAAGATAGTTTGCACATGACAAAACAGGGCAAGACTTACATCTGAAGACTAGACTCTAGCATCCCCAACTTGTGGTCTCTTAATCTATAACTTGACTCAAGCTTGACTATCGTGACTGGTGATATCATGTTGACTCAGTCAAAGTCACTTGAATGCACTGTTAATGTATAGTTAATGCATAGTTAATGAACTGTGACGACCCAACAATGACATAGCTTAAACTTTGCAGAGAAAGTGTGGGTGTAGACAACCTTTCAATGAGAAGGGCTGAAATACAAAGGCTCTCAATCTCATCTACAACACTTGCATCATGCGCTTTGGAATGGCTGTATGACCACAGTGAAGAATCGAAGACATCCTGCCATAAAATTTTGTAACAGTAGCCTTCAAGGCTCGCGGAAGCTGGTCATTTGGTGACATTCTTCAGAACCATTGCCAGTATTCCGAAATTACAAGCTTGTGAACTAGTCACACTAGTAAGAGATGATAGTGAAACTAGCTTCTATAGTGACTGGTCTGGGGAGCAACAAATTCGGGCTTTCTATCAGTTTTTTAAGTGAAGCATTCCTTACAAGAGGCCTATTATCAGTGAGCCTTTCTTTCAATTAATAAGTCCAACCAGGATAACTAATGGGACATCTGAATACCACGTTGCCAAGGTGAAGGTTCTGAAGATGGAGACCTCCCCATGTGCTCTCCCCTTCCTTCATCGGATACCTCTGTTGTTGGATCGCCACCTCTTGCTTTGATCTTCAGATCTGTTTCCTTAGAAAAATGATAATCTTTCAGCTTACAATAGTTTCTTGGTTGCTTTCACTACGCCTTAGAGTCACTCGTTTTCCAACACAAAGGCCTATCAAATCAAGAAAATTCCTGATGGTTACTAAGACAAGGCAAGAGACATTTCAGTACATGTCACTCGCCTCATCTAATTTCATTGCAATGTTAGTGATTTTATCAAGATGTTATGGCAGGATGAGTTAAGGCTACTGTTACAAAATTATATGTACGTTATATGTGAATCTAGCTCTCTGTAACTAAAGCGCATCCATCAATTCTTGGATATTTACAATGTGGCGTCACGAAGAAACTCTTTGCGGCACAATGTAAGGAAATACAACGTCATGGAACTCTGCAACCTGGTAACTGGATCAGCTTGCGAAGTTTCCAGAATACTTCGAAACCAACCAATCAAATCAGTCTTCCAAACTTACCAAATATGCAACCTCATGGGAACTACTCACCATTGAAAACTTGGGGAATGATTAAGGAAGCCGTTGTGTACCTCATTGTATGTTTGCGCCTCAAGCTCTTCTTGAAGGCTCACAAAGCCGTTAAAGGCACGAAGTGCCATATCCACAATTCACTTGACTTCATTCCATGCCATAGCCAAGAAACTTCATCAACGACAATTTGTACTAAAAAAAGCCAGTTATTCCATGATAACCACACTTTCCGTGTGCTTCTAGCTCCCTCACGTGGTGCCTCTGTGATTTATGTATCTTAGAGCAAGTCGAAGATTCGGGAACTGCACTCATGCGCACACACACCTGGAGCATGACGTCGTGAATCTTGTACTTCACGCATATTTCAATTGGTAAGGTCAAACCCTGCAAACTCCGTTACGAAAGATGAAAGACTTGTGTCCCAAGCAGATTGAAATTCAGAGTCGTCGCAACGATAGAGAATTAGACGATCTAAAACAACTGTTGATAAGACCAATCACTCAAGATGCCTACAAACAGAACTCCATGTTGTGCATATGAATTAAGCCCATCAAACTAGTACTCTTAACCCAATCCAAAACTGAAACCGTCTTCTCACTTGTAGCTTGTAACAATTAGAGCTGCGAGAATTAGGTTGACAGTGAGAATTCTAAGGCAGAAGCTTGGACTTCACCGCTACTCGCCGATGACCGAGATCACATTTTGTGTTGTAAGATTCATAACTCTAGGTCCGATGGTCTTCGTCACCAACACTGACCTCGCAAAGAATGTAGCTGCAGATCCTACGTCCAGAGCTCTTCCGCTTCCCCTCTATAAATTGTTCTCCACCCAACAAAACTCATGTTAGCATCATCTCTTGCACTAACCCTCGGACTCACACAGAATTGTATTCTCGCCATGTCAAGGCTGCCGCCATCTTAACCTTATAATCACATCACAGAATCACTGAACAACACCGCTTTACATGAAATCAAAATGCAATTGCTGCGTCCTTGGTTGATTTCTCTGTATACGAGCTTCAATTTATTGAAAAATTGGTTGCATGTAACAACGAGAAGTTGATTGACTAAAGGTAAGTATGAATCTTTGAAATCAGAAAATGGGTACCAGTTCACAATGCCTGTCATTCTTTAAATGAAAAATTTAAAGGAAAATTTCTTTAATTGAAATTAGGGCGAATTACTTCGTCACTGTTCACATTCACCCAAACCTGATGGTTTCATCACTGTTGGATGAATTATGATTGGGGTCTCCGCCTCATGGCTCGTTCCTTTTCAGAAGGCCCTGAGGGTCTGTTGCTGAGCGTCGCCGCTGATTTCGCATTTCTCCCATCTTAGCTCCTCGTGTGGTTCGCACTCTACAACTCTGTTGGGTCTTTCAGATTTGGCTCTCGAGAGGTTGGAAGCAATGGGAGCAGCTGCATTGAACGCGGGGGCGATTTGTGCAGTCTCGGGGATCGAGACTCTATCTTGTAGCGCAGCCGCATCGTCGTCAATGGCCCCTGTGTCCAAGGCATCGTTCTTCGTCGGCAATGGGGGCGGGCGGAAGCTTGTTGCATTGCGGGGCGTAGAAGCTTTGGGGAGTATTGCGAGGAGGAGCATTAAGGTCGTCGGGGCCATTGACAGGAACTCGACAACCACCTCAACAACCGCGCCGGCGGAGGTTCCCACTTCCACTTCCACATCCGAGGAGGCAGAGGTTCTGATCGAGAAGAGGTACTCCGCATTCCCTGCTGCTTTGGGAATCGATCAGATTATGGATATCCTGCCGCACAGATTCCCGTTCCTGTTGGTGGACAGGGTGATCGAGTACAATCCAGGGGAGTCGGCTGTTGCCATAAAAAATGTGACTATCAATGACAACTTCTTCCCTGGTCACTTCCCCCAGCGGCCCATCATGCCTGGGGTGCTCATGGTAGAGGTAAGACGTCATTTCAGGGATTTGATCATCTTGATATGAATGTAACATTGCAGTGCGCATGGTTTAGGTCAATAATGTAATAGTGTGGGCATTTCTATTTGTTGTCTTCTGGCCCCTGTTCTATTTTGAATCCTGAGCAGGTTTCTAATGTTCTGTCCATGTAAGTACCGTAGCCAATACTGAAAACATCGTGTGCTCTCGTGCGTGCTGAAACCATTTTGGTTGCGAGAGTAGGCTATGGCGCAAGTAGGAGGTATTGTAATGTTGCAGCCGGATGTGGGGGGCTCAAAGGAATCGTTCTTCTTCGCTGGAGTAGACAAAGTGCGTTTCCGCAAGCCAGTCATTGCAGGTGATACCCTCCTGATGAAGATGAAGCTTACTAAGTTGAACAAGAGGTTCGGAATCGCGAAGATGGAGGGTCAAGCCTACGTTGGTGGCGAATTGGTGTGTGAAGGGGAGTTTATGATGGCTCTGGGTAAGGCTGAGTGACCAATCGGCAGCATGAAATCGACATTCTGATATTCTTAAAGATTTCTTATAGTTTCTGCGTTTTCGTGAGTTGATTGCAGCTGCTCCACCTCCTTCCATTACTCACCTGCTGCTTGTAATATACATTTCGTTTTTGGTGTCGAACTTCAAAATTTGAGGGTCATGAAATATTGTGGTTCATATTGATAGAATGTTGAGATTGAGGTTGTTGCAGCCTCCTATTACAAAGTTTCAATGTTTGAACACCTGTGCATGTTTCACATGAATTTCTGTGTCTTGGTAATCACTCCTTCAAGCGGTTTTTGATTTTTAATCATTGAACTGAACTTCATGCTCCAGTAGTTTGGAAGTTTCAAGCAGGAAGGGAATGGTTTTATTTCGATCAAGAAATATGGATAAGCATACATTTTGCACAATCGAATTTGTCCATTTTTTAAGCTCAATTTGACTTAGATGTCAATAGCATCATGTCATTATGCCTTGTTCTTTACGTGGGCTTGAAGCTCCTGATTGCAGAGCTCCTTCCATCTCCTACCTGATGAGCGGGAATTAGCACGAACGACATATTCTCATATACCCACAACGAATTACATTACATTGCACCTTTTCTGTTTTCTATTTTAGAACTCCGCTGTAACGCGGTGTCCACAGATTGTATTGCGGGAAGCTGAAGATAAATGATCATCCTGCTCTTGAATACCTTGGGCTCACTAACTCATGTTAAGGAAATAACTGAATGCTATCTTTCGGTGAAGTAGCTCTGATTTCAATCGGGGAATGTTAGGACTGCTTACTAGCGAAGATGGCGAAATCAACACACATTGCAGCAGTTGGTTGCGTATGCGCACAATGCCTCTCTTTGTCAATACTTGCTTAGTGTAGTTGCCTGAATACAAGTGCCGCTCATGTGGGCTTAAGCATCATCATCAATTTGTTTCAATTGAATCGTGAAACCTTCATTCACCAGAAGAAAAGTTTCACCAGCTCATAGGCTTCTTGTTTCCGCGGCAGTACAACCCAAATTAAACTCGTGAACATTGTGCATGGAGATATTGTTCGGGGCAGTCATAGGACTACACTTGGTCATAAGTAGTCGTTTAGTGTTGTGAAGGCCGGGATGAGATTGCATTTTACGCGTATTTGGCGAACATGGGAGACGATATGTGCTAAAAGCAGGCGCATACTTAATGACTCAGCTCCTCGTGGATACAATATTGGTTGCCTGCATTCACGAAATAGTGCTGGAGAGCTTCGCAGAATTATTTTCTACAAATCAGTTCAGTTTGTCTTCACAGTGATGGATGAACTCTGACTGTTTAGACCACTTCCGTAGTAATTTCAATTGATTATGGAAAGTTATCAACTCCAGTTGCCTTCCAATCTGCTCAACATGCTGAAGACATGTGCCTACAAATAGAGGTATTTGGTTTCTAGTGTGCCCTCGAATCAGTTCTTTAAGCTGCACCAGCCTTGCTTGTCTCAAAGCGCACGCAGGTATCGACGTCTCTGTGGCTATATCTGATTCTAGAACCATTGCGTGTCACAGGATGATTCCGACTAAACTTGCTCGTTTTCGGTTTCTGATTGCCAGATTACAAGTACCGATTACAAGATGAAATGCTAAGGTTTTCGCCTAATGGCTGATGAAGCATTCGCCAGGCAAAGCACATCCGCTTTAGTTGCAGAAATAGGTTGCATCAATATCGGTGTACACATGAGGTTCTAGCCCAACAAACAGAACGAGGTATCAAAACAACACCTCTTTTAGTTGAGAGTTTTCATGTCGGTGCCACTACAGCACACAAAAAAGTCTCTTTTATACTAATTACATGAGAAAGAAAGTTACCTACTTAAACATCTAACATAAGTAGCGGCTGCACTAATCTCAAAGATAACCAACCAGGGTGCTGGACAATGTGCTAGGGTTCTTCATCTTCAGCTGTAATTGATCGAGAGTTTGCGGTCACAGCTACAGATCAAAATTTCAAGAGATTGATGGTCCTCCCACCAGCACATCTGAACTGTACATCACAGATTAAATTTCCTCAGACTCACACGCGCCGGAACATTTTCTTCTTCAAAAAATACAACATTACCCATCTCAGAACGAGGAAAATTTAAGACGGCGTCAATCAAGGAAGTCGTCATCCAACTCAACAAATACTTCTCAGAAAGTCTTAACGCCTAATCAAATGTATTCACTACAGACACGTCCCAGGCGGGCATACTTACATCTCTTTTTCCCCTGTTGAGATCGTTGTTGAAGCATGGTTCTACCAGCTTCTTTAGTTTCCTGACACATCACAAATCGGCGCCACCTAACTTCCCCACCTCCTAACCCGAAAATGGTCTGGTCCAACTGAGGGCCTCTTCTACAACAGATTCATCCACAAAGGGCCGCAGCGTCCACATCATTTGATAATTTTGTAAAAGCTCGGATGACAAGTCTAGTCCGAGCGTACCCACCACCCTTTCCTGTTTTGCCACCCAATCCTACCCCTTGTTAGAAAGTTTTAGAAGAAGTTGGTAGCATTTTGAACAGCACAAGATTACTTCATCATAGTACCTACAGACATGACTAGGAGCGGGTATAAGTAAGCAAGGCCGTGGTTGACAATATACTGAGGAAAATATATCTGTTCAAGTCGTCAAGTGGATTTACGAGACCTGCATGGTGAAGTCTTGTTGTAGCATGGTGTAAATGGCTGCCATTGTTGTCACGTAGTCTGGAGTGAATAGCTGACGTACTTTGGTTCTCAGGGAGGTTACCTGTAGGGAATAAAGGATGCACATTGTAAGCATGAACATGACACCATCATTCAAACCATAAATTTTTTGAAGGCTTCCGGCATGCTTCATTTTCATCAAAGAAGAAGTGGGCAAAGTCAATGTAAAGGTAAGGCGCTTACTTGTACATGGCATCCAGCTCCTTGTCCAACATCCTCTTCTTGTGCAGGTTCGGAGCTCCCCTCCCCATCTATCAATGCAACGTTGTTCAAGCGCGCACTCAAATCTTCGTGCATGATTCCATTAGCCTCTCCCAGCAAGCCTTGAATCTCCTCCATGACTCCGCGTGCTGCAATCGACCACAAGAACCAAGGGCCAAGGAAAACAATATATGAGAGCTCACTTACAACACCTGTAAAAACCCCTTTCAAACCAACACTCAAATAGACAAACCCTGGAGATCATGTAACATAAGACGCTTCACCAAGAGAGTACCTTGCTGGACGTGGTTTTGAAGGCCCTTGAGCGCATTGTCCACTGCTAGTTCTTCAAAGTGCAAGCAACAAGTTCTCATCAACAAGACGCGGGAATCAGATAGGCGGGGATAATGAAGAGAGAAAATATCTTTAAAAAAACATAGTATCTGAAAGAGATTCAAATATATGTAGACAGGCGCGGGTTGATTGTAGCATGGCAATCCCGTGGCAATCCAATGGCAATTCAACCAGAGACAGGGGAGACAGGGATGAACAATTACACTTCACCAGCACGGCATGATCGGTGTGACAATGACGGTACCCTGCCTCCTGATACGCAACTAGACGCTCACTGGCCTGACTCGCCAGCACTTGTATCAACACGCTTGAGTTATTTAGTGGCGATCTACGAAACATTTCTGCGTTACAACAGCCATCCTTGATCTTTTTAAGCTACAATCAAAGCAGCTGAGGGTTAAGAAGACTTCAAATTAGCAACTAAAATTGAGGGCTAGTGGAGAAAAGTGCAATACCGAGCTCTTGCTGAAAGACCGCCAGCATTTGGCTGCTTAGCTTAGACATATCTTCCAGAGACACCACTCTGGGTTCCAGCCAAACACATTCCCAGGGATAGTCTCAGAGAATATTTCACGAATTGAAGGAAGCGGAAATCTATCAGTTTCGTACCCCTCCCATTGCTCTCCATTCATCACATCTCTATATTCAAAGCGCTAGCAAATTCACTCGGTTCTGTGGCATAACCTTCCATACATGAAACATCAAAAAATGATGAAAAGAACCATCTGTTCCATTAAGCACAACAAAATGATAGTCATCGCGTGCGATGCTCAATGCCCCCTACTCCAACCGCTTCGGTAAGGCCACAAATTCAGACGCAAAAAGAACGTTGCCATGGCTTGCCAAGCAGATCGAGCTCATGCCTTTTGAAGAGAGCCTAATTAGATAAGCCTAAGCGCACGTTGGAAAGGGAAAGGGCCTTGAGATAAGAACCTCGCCATGAAAGTCTGAAAGACGCGCGACACGTTGGCCATGGACAAATCCACAGCCCCTCCGTTCTCTTCTCTGCCGCAAGTTAACGAAAGGACGTGTGAAATCAGCGGAAACAAAATTAATAGAAAGGCAAGACGAGAAGGTGGGTCGGGTGAAGATTTAGGTCATCGGTGACATGCACACCCGATTTTCAAAGCCACACCAGCTGAAGACGAAACAGTGCGAGGACCAAATAAACAAACCAACAAACACTGCATCCCCCGTTTGGAATCCAACATCCTCCGTCAACAAAAGCTGGACGGAACGTGCCGAAGTGAACGAACGAAAATATGAATTAACGAATGAACTCAGTGGACGTATCGAGCTTTCGTCGAGAAGAATGTGCCAGGAATTGTGACTTCGTCCTTGTGTTGCCGAAATATAGTGTTCCCCATTTCAACCACTGTCCAGAGCTGACGCGGGGGGGGGGTGAGGCCCAGACACGGTGATAGGGCCCCGACTTGGATAATTTCTGCATTCTGGGAGTTGTGTCAAAACAACCAAACTAACGTAAAAAATTAGGGGAATATTAAATAGACCTAGGTTTTTATTAAATTGACATACCCATGATGAAGAATATGGTCATCATGATGAATGCCGTTGGTTTTTATTGGTTACTAGTGAAGAAATGAATCTTGAGTTTTTTTTTTTTTTTTTTTTTTTTCTTTTTTTCATCATGATGGTTAGGATGGGTGGATTATTTTAATAAAAGCCTAGGTCAATGTAAAATTCCCTAGTAATTAATATACACTATTTATGTATATTATCAAGGATTATCATGTTATATAATGGCACTTTTAAGTTACATTTGGTTTGTAAATTGGATTTCATTCTATTCATGTTTGTTGTCATCCATATATATATATATATATATATTTGCAAGTTTCTTCTTGTAGAATTTGAATATATTCAATTAAGCCCAACCTTATCATTTTTCTAGTATTGTAGAATATTTTATATTCCTACTTTAAAAAAATATATATTTTTAAAATCCAAATAGTTGAGAAACAGAGTCATTAATATAACGATCACATGATGTGGAGGGTGTTGAGTCTTGGTAAAAGAACACTTGAAAAAGTAGCTTGTTTATAAGAAAAAACTTTCTAAGGCCTCTATTTCTTGGAACTAGAAGTAGTCAAATCCAAAAAAATTTAAACCTATTTATATTTTAAAAATTTATGTAGAATAATTTTGTGTATAAATTTTTTTGTATGTATGTTGGAATTGATTTGACTTTGTCATGCATTCACAACTATCCTTATATGCCATAAAATCCAAATGAACATTACTTTTCTAACAAGCATAAGGTCTAAATAATGTATCTTATTAATTGAATGATTTGATAGATTTGCTTCATATATAAAGTTCTATTTGATTTTTTTCTTAACTGGTGGTTTCTTGGTTACTGAGACATAATCAAGCTACAATCCAAGCAATAAAAAAAATCCATAATCTAGGTAAATTATTTTTGTTAGAATTGATTAAAATATTTTTTGAAGTATTTTTAACATATTTATATAATTTATTTGATAATATTATGCATATTTAATTTCCAAGAAAATTCTTATTATTTTTTTAATAAAATAAAATATTTTCTATTAATATACTAAAAAAGAAGTTATTTTGAAGAACTTGATTGATTATTTGAATAAAATATTCTCGTATGATATTCCAAATAATATGAATAATTTGATTCTAGCACCATCAAGACTTAAAATTTTGTTACTTTTTATTTCATTAATAATTTCTTCTATTCATTGAGACTAAAAGAATAAATCAGTACTTTATTTATAAAGATAATAACTTCAATAAGAACAATATTTAGTAATAAAATGAAGACCTCTTAATTTTCTAGAAATTATTTTTTATATTTATAAAATTTAGTAAAAAAATCATGATAGATTTATTTATAGTCGAGCAGATTCTTTATTTCAATATAATGTTAATTTTGCAACTCTAGGATATTTAATATTAGCAAAATTTAAGAATTTTCTAGCATTAATTTTACCAAAATTTCTTAACTAATACATGTTTTTATTATTTGACATTCTTCCTTCTACTTTTTATATTAAATTAATTTGATTTGTATCTTTTTAAAAATTTCTTGCAATGATGAATCTTAAAGATGGAATTATAATTTTTGATAAGCCTCTAATACATTTTTTTACGATTCTAGATATTTTTTTTCCTTCTAAAAGTCTTATTGTCACAAACATACATATTAATATTAGTATCTATTTAGATAAGATAAGTTAGGTAGAAGTAGGTAAATTTATTAATATCTTGTGAAAAAAATTCTTAGAAGTTTTATAGATGCAAATTTGACTTTCTAAATATTTGTATGTAATTGACAGGTCAAAAACTTAGCCAACAAGCTAACCATGTATTCCACACGTTAACCACTTACTTTATAAATTGGCCATATAATGCACATATTGAAAAAAATTGCTTTATAAGTTAGATACATGTCTTATAAGTTGAACACATATTAGATGATCTATAGAACATTTTCATATAATTTCTTTGTTAGATAATATATATAGAGGCAAGAATGAGGTCTTTTTTTACTCTTGTCAATTTCTTTTTTTTCTTTTACTTTAGCTTCAAGAATCTATAGTTTTTTTGTCTTTGACAATAGCCATTTAAGTTTTTTCTTAAATATACATGCTTTTTAATCATCTTTATGTCATCTTTTTTTAAGACACATCTCACCTATTTAATCTCATTCTTCAAGTTCTTATCCTTGATACTTATTCATTATAAAAATTCTTGTATAATCTTACAAATAATTAAAACTTCGTACAAAATATTTTTTTATTTAATTTAATCTATATTTTTTATTCAACAAATAGCTTGTAGATTATTTAGATAAAAATATTTACTTCATAATCAATTTTTATATGTGTGAATTTTTGTGGTTGAATTTATACTTTAATAGAAGAATCTTTTAATACCTATATATACATATTTTATGTTTTATGTTTTTTTTAGTTTTTATACTTTTAACATATTATTATTTAAATATAATCTATTTGATATTGTTAGCCTAAAAAAATTATATTCATTTCTTGTGTTTTTAACCATTACTAATTTTTATCCAATATTAACAAAATATCACAATAAAACTTATTTATATAAGTCAAGCCACATCTTATTGCTTTCTTAAAAAGTATTAGAGGTTTAAATAATGATTAAGTCTAGTAATTCATATAATAAGCCTTTAAAAATAATCCATAGAGCCGTATTATTTAGAAGTGAATTATAATTAACTATTTGATATTTGATGGATAGAAAAATCAATGTATATATATATATATATATATATATATATATATATATGTTTATATATCATTAGCCTTAGTATTATTAGAATGGTTTATATAACTTAGAAAAACTTCTAAAAATAAATAAATAAATAAATATTTGGCCAATACATACTCTTTGAACCTTGCATCTATAAGTAGAAAAAATTATTTAAAATAAATAATATATCATATTTTAGAAAGAAGCTTTAAGTATGTCTTTGAAAACTAAAGGATTTAGGTGATTTTTTTAATCTGGTAACAATTATGTGACATGGTTTTTGAACTCATAAAAATAATTATTGTTTTTAAGGCTTCAAAAGATACTTCAACTTCTTTGCTTCACTTGAGTTTGTCTTTATATGCCAAATATGTAAAAAGGGGCCCAAATTGAAAAAAGTTCTTAATGAAGGTTTGATAATAATTAGCAAATTCAAAAAAATATTGCACAATTTTAATTTTTTTTGAAATCTTCTAATCTATGATGTATTCTTAGAAGTTAACTTGAATAATATAAAATATATATTTTTGTATCTTCGCATATAATCTTATATCTCTCAATTTTTGTAACATACAACAAATATGAAGTTCATGCTCTACTATATTATTAGAGTAGATTAATTTTTTTTTTAGATAATAGACAATAAAATCATCAAGAAAATTACAAAAGATATCATTTATTAGATGTTGAAAAGAAATTGATATATTTATAAATCCAAAAGATATGATATTATATTTACAATATCCATACCTGATTCAAAAGGTAGTTTTCTATTCATTTATTTTTTTTTGATGTATATTAGGTTGTATGTTCCTCATAAATCTATTTTGTATAGATCTTTGCTTGATTGAATTGATTATAAAGTCCTAAAATCAAAGATAAAGGATACCTATTTTTGATGGTGATCTTTTTGAATCTTCAATAATTTACAAATAGCTATAAAGATTCGTCTTTTTCTTTATAAATAAGATAAGATTTCTTACTGGAGATTTAAAGTGGTATATGAAATTTTTAGCCAAGTTCTTATGAATATACTCTTTTAGTGCAATCAACTTGTTCTGCAATAAATTATAAATTAATTCAATTAGTGATTGAACTCCTTCTTAAAGATTAATGAAATAATTATAGGAACAATAATCTAAAAGAATATCAATATTTTTTTTTCAAAAACATCTTAATAATCTTAATATTTGCTTCAAATACCATTTAAAGTCTTTTTTCTAATAAAAATAAATATAACATATATATCAAATGCTAATCTTTCTTTTGCAGTATACATGAAAGCTCTTGCATCTATCAATAAGAATTTGATTATATTAGACTTATTGTTTTTTATTTGATTAATAAAATCTTTGATTAAATTATAAGAAAAATTAAGGTTATATAAAATCTAATCTATGTGCAAATTATATTTTTTTAACTACAATAATCTTTAAATAACTAGATTATAGGAAGATTTAATGATATTAAATATTACTAAGCTATTATAATCTTTAGTTGCTATATCTAAAAAAATTGGTTCATAGATAATATTTTTAAAAGATAATGAATAATCATCTATGATTTCTACATGTATAGATTTGATTTTCTTGATTAAGAATATTTTTTGTTTTTAGACAAAATCCTTGTCCATAAAAAACATTCAAGCTCTTGAATCTAATAAAGCAAAGATTTTGTGCTCTTATTATGGACATATACATTTATCTTAATAATTACTTATATGATTAGGTAGAAACAAATAAACATAGATTAATTTCATAAAGTCTTCTAGAGAAGCTTTCTAAAAGCTTTATAGACACAATTTTGACTTAAGATGTATTTGTAGGTTGAAAACTTGGCCAATGCGTTAACCATGTAGAATAAGCTAACCATGTGGTGCATACATAGATAACTTGCTTTGTAAGTTAA